GTTTTACTTTCCTGTTATTCATTTTAGTGTATATTAAGTATACCAAAATGTTTAATATGGCACATATATATTATACATAAACATAATATATGATATATAAATATATTACATATATTGTGCTGGTCCTGTACTTGAACTCAGGGCCTGGGCGATATCACTAAACTCTTTTGCTCAAGACTGGCACTCCATAATGTGATTATATTTTATTTAGAAAAATCCTGTGTCTATTTTTCCTTCTTGCCCTGTCCCACCTCCTATTGTTTAACAGCTTTTAGTTAGATTCCTTTTTTTTTTTTTGCCTGTTCTGGGGCTTGAACTCAGGGACTAAGTGGAATCCCTGACTTCCTTTAACTCAAGGTTAGTGCTCTACCACTTGAGCCACAGCTCCACTTCCAGCTTTTTTCGTTGTAGTTTGAAATAAGACTCTCACTGACTTTACTGATCAGGCTGGCTTTGAATCATGATCCTCAGATCTCAGCCTCCTGAGTAGCTAAGGTTACAGGCATGAGCCTTGTGAGAGTTCTTCCCCCCCCACCCCCGCAAATGTTCACTAACGTTTATTGTATCATGATAAAAAGATATTTCCTGAGCAAGCTCCAAAGTTACAAATAATTAGTACCCTCCCAAGTAGCATACCCGTGTATACCAGAGAAAAATCACTACTCCAATGTGAAAAGCAAATGAAAAAAAGATCCTAGAGGGTTATGTTCAAAAGAGGAGCAGTATCACCAACAGTATTTCTCAGATATAAGAAGCAATTTGTGGTCATATCCTGTTATATTCTTCAAGTGACTTTTATAATCTATAAAAATTTTAAGTTTTCTGGATAGTTCTACCTTGTTGACGACATTTACCCTGTCAGGTAAATTATAACTTAAATTACCCAGCATCCCCCGGGCATCGGTGGCTCACGCCTGTAATCCTAGCTACTCAGGAGATCTGAGGATTGTGGTTCAAAGCCAGCCTGGGCAGGAAAGTCTGAGAAACTCTTATCTCCAATAAACCACCAGAAAAATGGAAGTGGCGCTGTGGCTCAAGTGGTCGAGCGCTAGCCTTGAGCTGTAGAGCTGAGGGACAGTGCTCAGGTCCAGAGTTCAAGCCCCACAACCGACCAAAAGAAAAATTACCTATCATTCTTATTTATCAATTCAGTCTCTCTTGCTCAACTGACAATCCCTAAAATTTTATCTATCCCTGTGTTAGATGGCATATCTGGTAATTCAATGAAAAGAAGTTGATCAAATTCCAAAACTGACTTTCAAATTAAAAAATATCTAATAACAAAATTGAATTAATTCCAGGTAGTGATTAAATTGTAAAGAAATTATTGTCTCCGGGAGGATCTTAAGAGAAATGGTGAATAGCTGGGGGTGAAGGGAGGAGATACCCTTAATGACTAGGTCAGTAACAGAGCATGACAAACACTAAAAATTTCTGTACTTATACACAGGCTAATTAGAAGAAAATACAAAGGGGAGAAAAGCCAATTAAAAAAACAATTTGTAGGACTGGGAAGTTGGCTCAGGGGTAGAATGCTTGCCTTGCGTGCATGAGGCCCTGGGTTCAATTCCTCAGTACCACATAAGCAGAAAAAGCTGGAAGTGGCACTGTGGCTCAAGTGGTAGGTAGGGCACTAGCCTTGAGTTGAAGAGCTGAGGGACAGCGCCCAGGCCCAGAGTTCAGGCCCCACAACCTACAATAATAATAATTTACAAAGGAAATGTTAAGTTATTCAACCTCAAACTATCTTCCTTTCAGAAAAAATTTAAGACTAGAATGACAAATTTTGTTCAAATTGCTGTTTTTTGTATCTATCAGAAATGAGATAAATATTCATGTTTGAGCACAAAAGAGTAATAGATTTTTAAAAATTGGAGGGGAGGGAAATCTCATTTACCTGGTTTTATTAAAAGACACTCTAGCCATCTTCGTCCAGCGCTGGTGTCCAAATAGATTGCCAGCACAGCTTTATATCATTCGGTCCATCCACAAATAGATTGGACAGGTTAGTCTCTGGTAACTGCTGGCAAACCATATCTTATTCTGGGATGATTGAATGCTATTTGATTTTACATTCCAAAGGTATCTTTGTTGTGAGCAATCTTCTCTGGTAGGCCCAGAAGGAGGCATATTGCCTTTCTGGAAAATGTTTTGATTTTGTGAAAATTTTCAGAATGACTGTTACAGGTTTAGGGTCTGGAATGAAAATGCTGAGGTGCTGGAAGTGCTGCAGGATAGCCATGGGTCTGATGTAGGTTGCATGTAGGTCCTTGGTTAGCAGACTTCTTAGTGGTGTGGACTGGTTCCATATGTGCTGAGTCTTCAACACCTACTGACCTACATGCACCAGGATTCCAATTTCCTGATAGGCCCATTCCGAAGATCTTCAATGTAGTTTTGTCTTTCTATGCAATGTCCTTGGCACCTATTAAATAATTCGATTGCATCATCTGGCCTTGTGCCTTCTACATTAATCAAATATCTGCAGATGATATAGCCAATTCTGTTTAAGCTATGGGGGCAGTGGAAACCAATAAGTTTTCCATTGTCTTTATTTTTTTTCAAAAAAACCATTAACAGCACATTTGAATTAATCTGATACACAATTGTAAAAAATTTAAAATATGAAAGAGTTTCTGGTAAATCCTTTTTTAACCTAGAATGGTGATGCACACCTGTAATCTCAGTACTGGGGAGGCCAAGGCAGGAGGAACTTGAATTCAAAGCCAGTCTGAGCTACACAGCAAGACCCTCTGGTTAGTATATGATAAATCAATAATCAATCTGAGCTCTTCATTTTGTTCCTGGATTTTGTTAAACAGACCCAAAGGGGAAAAGCATTCTTCTGGAGCAAGATTCACTTCAAACTTCTTTTGCAAAGGAACTTTGAAAGCAATAAAACAAGCTCCAGACATCCGATGTCCAACTGGCAAATAGTCTTTCCACCTTTCTGGGACCTGGTTTCCCCCTTCTTCTTAGCTGAGGGACATCCTGAAAAGTTGCATCCCTGATCTCAGCCACTACAGGCATGATGCCACGTGTTTATGTGGCCACCGAGATGATGTCTACCCTGTGCCAAGCGGACCAAAGCTGTGGTTGCAGCGACCTCTGTGGCACAAGGAGAAACTGGATACCAAAAACCCCTTGTGAGATTTCTTATACAATTGTATTGCCATTATTCACCCTCCATCCGTCTCTTTTCCCCTCTCTTTCCTTTTCCCCCAAAACAGCTACATAGTTACAATCAAGTTCTATGTATATGCTTATATATTTATATTTGTATATACATATTCATAAATATATCTTGGACCTTAGACATGTGTGTGTGTAAGTTCCACAAATGAGAAAATATGAATATTTGGCTTTTTGAGCTTGGCTTATATTGCTCAACATGATGGCCTCCAGCTCCATCCACTTACTGCAAATTGCAAAATATATTTTTCACATAGTGAAGTCATATTCCATGATCTGTATATATATGTGTGTATATATAATATATTACATATATAAGGAATATTTTCTTTTTCTCTCATAATTTGATTAGCATTAATCAGTTATACCTACAGTTATGCCTACAAAATACCTTGACAGGTTCACTCCATTAATCTTCCTCCTCCTTCCTCCCTCTTTCACAAACTAGTATCAATTGAGTTTCATTGTTCTGTTTTCACACATGTACATAAAGTATTTTGATCATATTAACTAACCCTCTCTCCTTTTGTCCTCCCACTATTGCCTATACCCCACACAGGATACATTTTATATTATTCATTTTTTAGTGTATGCTAATTGTTTAAAGTGGTTTCACCATGGGGTTTCACAATGCAAATATAGTGTTTTAGTCAGATTGACCATTCATTTATTCTTACTTTCTCCATCTCCACTACCCCATTATTCAACAGATTTCAGTTTTGTCATCTCCATTCATAGTTGCAATGTATTCTGGTACTGTTCCCCTCTGAAATCCTCTATTTTCCTCTAAATTCCTCCCAAAATTTCAATTTAGTCCTTCTATTCAATCAAGTCACAAGCTAGATGCTCAGCAGTTATATACATAAGTAACGTGAGGAAGTAACTTCTTGAGTGTTTATTCCTCTAATAGTTAACATAGAAGTGATTAACATATTTCAGTTGTTTACTTCTTTTCAAAAGTTTTTCCCCACTAATTCTATCATTCTATAATGATGAGGTCAAGTCACACCTGCATTAAATATATAATTTATTCATAAATAACCATGGAATATACTTATGCCATAGTACAGAAAAGGAAAGGGACTGAAATAGCTATGTCCAATTAAGAAGCAAATAGGAAATGAGAGAGAACAAGATCTTTAAATATGGCGTGCATCTTAGCATAATCTTTTTAAATGTCACGGACTTCAATTGACTAAATATAAATACAGGTCCTATAGCAAATAAAGGGCATTTTGGTGTTGAGGATTTGAACCTAGGATCTAGCACTGAGCTATATCCCTAGCCCCAGGTAAAATATTTTGACCTAACTATATCCAGGCATTGAAAGCCTTATTGGTGAAGCCAAATTAATACTTCATGTTCAAGAGTATTACTTATTCAAGAACATGCGGTTGCTATGACATCAAATTATTTATAATCATTTGTTACTTGTATATTCCAGAATCATATTGAGAAACTAGATAGAAAATACTATAAATTAAATTAGAAACAGGTTACTAAATATATTTTTCTGGTGACAATAATGAGCAATTTCTATGTAGTATAATTAATTGGCTTAAGTTCTTCAGACTACTAATTTAAGTGGACCAATAATTGCATGCTCATATTTCAGTTAGGTAATTCATCATGTGGTTGTCTAATTGGATAACCTGTAAATAATTCTGTTCAGCTAATATTATAAAAATATATTAACATGAAACAACAATATTTCCTAATAGAGTAACAGAATACCAAAAATTGAATGCTGGAGCTTTTAAAAATGTAAGAGCAAAGAGAATATAGAGCATTTTTCTATTCATGCAGCTTTAATATAAAATTTCAAAATCTCTCTGCACATTAATAGTGACTTCAAGTGTCTCTGTCTCCATTATAAATGATGCTTTAGCACTGCTTCCTTGTACAGGCTGGGGGAAAGTTACCAAAAGCTTCCTAAAAACAAAGTAAAACAAAGTTAAATTCAATTTAATGAAAATCTGGAATTTACTTCCTTATGTAATAAGATGATCAAGAGCCACACATCCAAGTAGAATGTTCAGATACTTGACTCTACAATATTTCTTTTTTTGGGGGGGTCCGGTCGTGGGGCCTGAACTCTGGGCCTGGGCGCTGTCCCTCAGCTCTTCAGCTCAAGGCTAGCGCTCTACCACTTGAGCCACAGCACCACTTCCGGCTTTTTTCTTTTTTGCTTATGTGGTGCTGAGGAATCGAATCCAGGGCCTCATGCATGCAAGGCAAGCGCTCTACCACTGAGCCACCTTTCCAGCCTCTCTACAATATTTAGACAGTATAAATTCTGGATCAAACATATGTCTATATACCACAGATAATATAACACTTTGGGGCCTTAGAAATCCAAGCTGTTGCTTTGATTCGTTCTCTCTTTCGGCTCCCCCCTCACTTTCTCTCTGTATGTGTATGTGTATGTCTTGTTTTTAAATTATCCTTAGTTTACATTGCCTAAACATAGCCTATGTTTATGACACAGAAATAGAACCATGAGATTGGACAGATTTGTTGCCAGTTCTATTTGTGTGTAGGTGGAATGTGGCTGACTGATACAAATCTAAAGATTGGAATGGTTGATTCTATCACACTTCTGCAAACACAGCTTTAGGCTGAGTCTCCACTGTCAGTGTACTTTTGGAAAACCAGTTCTGGAATTATTTCAAAATCAGATCAATGAGAGTACTTCTCCCTGCTTGCTTCTGATTCTTTCTACTACATATTGACAAAAATTTCCCCATGATAGATTGCTGGATTTAGTTTGCAGTTTATGGCTCCATGCTTTAGATGCATTGCTGGGATGAGACATCCATAATTCTGACACAGTAGTGTGAATCTGAATTATGCATAGGGTCAGCACATGCTGCTATCTGAAGAAAATGAAATGTGCAAAACACTTGTTACCTCACATTCTCAGTAGATAAGGCCTGGATGTCTCTCTAAAAGGTGGACAAAAAAGCTTCTTCCTATCCAAATCAGTAAAGGAAAGCTGATTTTTATTTTAGGGGCACTTCTGGACTATTTGAATAAAACAGTGGTATTTGAAAACAAAACCCTTGAAAATACTCTATACTTATTTGCAAATCACTAAGATCCGAGGATTGAGCTCACTTAGAAGAATTATCTGGGCGGCAGTAATCTTAGCAATTCAGGAAGCTGAGCTCTGAGGATGGATGTTCAAAGCCAGCCAAGACAGGAAAGTCCATGAGACTCTTATCTACAATTAAGCACCAAAAAAACCCAAAGTGGTGCTGTGGTTCAAGTGGTAGAGCCTTAGCTTTGAGCACAAAAGCCTGGGGACAGAACCCAGGTCTGCAGTTCAAGCCCAGGACTGAACTGACACAAAAAAGAAAAAGTATTTAGTCCACACTACAACCTAAATGAGAATTTTTGTGTGACTTTTGTGCCATTTCAGATGGGGATATGAAAAACAATTCCCTTCACCTGAAGTAATTAAATAGTAAAATATTTTACTCTAGTTAGTAATATTTGGCATCTCAAAAAACTAGTGCAAAAAACCACTTAGAGTCCATCCTTTAAAGCTGTTTACAATAGAGGCTGCAATAGAATTATATCTGCCTCATCCCTTATTCTATAAATGATAATGTATTCACTTGAAAAAGAAAGCAGAGCTCACTATGCTAGCTTCATTGCACTAAAAGACAACTATAAATCAATGGAAGAAGGAGTTCCAATGATAATGTGCACTTCTATGTCCAGAGAGAAATAAATCCAAAACTGACAGTGGCGAATGGAATGATCTATCTATCTCTCCATTACTGTCTAGGCATGAGTATATGGTTTCACATACTAAAAACTTGAACATGATTATGCAACTTATTTAGGCTCTTAGGAAAAGGGAAGTATATTTTTATCTAGTCTTGTATCGTCTGATATCTGCACATTTATATCTAAACAAAATGAAAATTCTATGAATACTTATTCATATACAAGTCATTGAATGACTATATTTGCTATATTCTGGTGTTCCCCTAGTGTCTAGCATTGAGTGAATAAATAAATGAAAGAAAAACAAATATTTAAATCACTACAAAATGGCATTTGAATAATTATTATATACTATAAAATTTGAATAAATATCTCAACCCATTTTCTCTGCTTTTACCTTGACAATATGCTTGTTATAAAATGTTATAGCTTAGGCTTATCCAATGTGAATTTTCACTATAAACTATATGCAAATAAGAATACATGAAAGTAAAAAAATTGTCAATATAGTTAACTCAAGTTAATATGTTTACATTAAAGTTTAAATTGATTGTAAAAACAAATAAAACACAACCTTGTAATTTTAATTTTATTTAGTTAACATAGCTGAGTTAAAAACACGTGGCTTTTTTAAGGTTTCCTGCAGAAATGAAAAAATCATTGAGCAGCAGTTCAGCTATTCCATTTGGAAAACTTTATTTTAGGCAAGAGTGTCTTTGAACATCCATGAATTCTCAACTGAATTAAAGGAACACAGCAAGGTATGAAAAATTGGACCAACATTCAACCCAATTAGCTTACATTTGTCTTTGTAATAGTGTTTTATTATCTCACTTAAAGTATTCATTTATGGTATTCAAATAATTCACTTAGAAAAACAATGAAACCTCATGTGAAAAGTCAGGAGAGTCTTGAAAATTATCCCACCCCACCCCATCTTTTTTCCTTTTTATTTGCTCTATATTGGGAATATGCTAGCCAAAGCAACAGACTGGAATAAGTGAATTCAATAAATAGGTTTTCTTAATAGTAGCTCTGCATTGAGCACTTAACACGTAAGTACAATATACTTAATAGTTTCATTTGTGCATATCATTTACATAACTTAATATATAAGCACAGGATACAAATGAGCCAGTACAGCCCATACTCTATATGGAGACTTTCAGTACTTCTGGTGGAGATTTTTTCATTTTGTGGGTTCTGATAGATATCTGAAATGACAGCATAGCTAGAACAGCTGCCCAAAGATTGATGGAGACAGTGAGAAATGCTAGAAAAACGGAAATTAAGTCCATGGTGTGTAGATATGTGTGTGCTTTTAGCAAATGGGCAAATACCATGTAAGAATGATTATTAATTTAGCCAACTTGCCTTTCAAAGGTTGTGTGGAAGAGTAAATGCATGTACAAAGGACAAAGAAAGAAGATGTGAAACTCTTTAAAGTGAATAATAAGAATAGAAATATTTTGTAATCAGAATTTTATTGTACACTCTGAGGGACATGATTTTGTACCCCTGTAATAGGAAGATTACACTTGAAAATACAAAACTAACTAAATTATTTCATCATCTGCATTATTTTTAAATGTAGCCACACAATCTGAAAATCTAGTGACAAGTTAACTGAAGTTTTGTTTTAAACAATTCATAACAAGACTGTATTGATTTCTAATAAACATAGTCATATTTTACCTTAGAGCCCTATAACATCACAAAAGTTTACATAATTTGTGACTTTTATGCCATCACTATACAAAAATTCACATGCAAGACTTATAACTTAAGGGGTTTCCACTTCTAGCTTATTTTTTATGCTGGTACTGGGCCTTGAACTCAAAACCTGGGTGCTGTGCCTTAGATTTTGTGCTCAAGGCTAGCACTCTATCACTTGTCATTTTTTGGTGATAAATTGGAGATAAGAGTCTAATGGACTTTCTTGCCTATGCTAGCTTCAATTGTAATCCTCAAATCTCATCCTTCCAAGTAGCTAGGATTACAGGCATGAGCCACGAGTGCCAGCTTCTAATTACGTGTGTGTGTGTGTGTGTGTGTGTGTGTGTGTGTGAGAGAGAGAGAGAGAGAGAGAGAGAGAGAGAGAGAGAGGGAAAGAGGGGGGAGGAGAGGGAGAAGGGAGAGGGAGGGAGATTGTTTTGATGACGTCAACCCACATAGAATGTATAGAAGCAAAGTGCAAAGTGGGGAAAAAAAGTATTTCCAAACATACTTTTGTATTATGTGGATCAAATATCTGAGATTTCACTTTTCTTAGGGCAAAATAACTGTACACTTATAAAACGAACACCTATAATCCTACCCACTCAGGAGGCTGAGGTCTGATGATTACAGTTCATAGTCAGATAGAGCAGGAAAGTCTGCGAGACTCTTCTCTCTCCAATTAGCCACCAAAAAGCCAGATGTACAACTGTAGGCTCACATGGTAAAGCACTAGCCTTAATTGAAAAAGCTTAAGACTAGTGCTCAGTCTCTGAGTTCAAGCCTTAGGACAAGTGCATGTGTACATGCAAGTGCACACGTGCATACACACACACACACACACACACACAAAGAATATGGACTCTGGGATCATTAGCATTTATGAATATTATACTATGCCAGTTTTAATTTTTTACTCACTTATTAGGAGTGCGAAGATCAAGGTATGTATCCTCAACATCAATGTGAATATCAGAAGGGTTTGTATCAGGCAGTTGAATTTTTACCTAAGATCAAATGAGAATAAAAATATTGTAATCTTGGAGAGCAGTTAAAATGAAAAATGTAGCAATATAGAGGGAAAGGAAATCCAATATTTATCAAGTGCCAACCATATATTGGGTTATGTCCTGTCTTTTTTTTATCAGCATTGAAAGGCAGGGATTAATAGCCCTATTTTGCAGATGGATAAACAAACAAGACTAGTGAGTGCCAGGACAACTGTGTGTGACCTGACAGTGCTTCATAGGTCCAGAGCTAAGTGGTACTTACTTGCAATCTTCATTGTCTGAAATGTACTGCTACAGTTCTATCAGTAGGAAATGTGTATAAAAACTGTTTACGTAAAGTGCTAGTATGAGATGTTGATACCATACTGTAGTCTCCTGGTAAAAATTCCCATACCACATATCTTAGAGAGTTTTGCAGTTCAGAAAAATCATTATCATAACAAAAGAGAAAGAATAAAAATAGAACTTAAATCTCAGCAGAAAGAGAATTTACAGGTTTAGTAAGATTTCACTAACAAATGTCTTATCAAAATCAACAGTTCCACTACTGGGAATGTGCCCAAGCCCATAGAAATAAGATGTTCCAACAAAAATATATGCACAATCTTTCTATTCATAGAAGGACTATTCATATAGCACAAATGTATAAACAACTCAAATATACATCAGCTAGTGAATAAATAAATCAAGGTAGTAAAGCTATATACTGGAATACTATTCAGCTATAAAAAAGAACAAAGTACTGTTCTACCAATGAACCTTGAAAACATTATGCTAAGAGAAAGAAGCCAGGCATCAAAAGGTGTATTTCTAGGTTTCTAGTTATAGGCAATTCCATAGAGACAGAAAGTAGATTGAAGTTTTCCAGGAGTTAGAAGGATGGAGAAAATGGGAATAACTAATGGCTATGAGGTTTCCTTTGGCTTGAAAAAAACATGCCCTGGAATTATATACTGATGATGGTTACGCATCATTGTGAATGAGTGTGTATTTCACCACACCAAAGTCTCATCTCTAATATATACTAATGTTCATATATAGATGTTGTTATATATCAGCAATACGTATATATACACACATACACCTACACATCTGTGTATATACACATGCATATACTTATACATATAAATGAGATGATATATGGTTTCTATAAAAAAAGAAAATGCAACCTGAAATTCTGGAGCATAATGAAGGCTTCCCTAGGACTAACTAGAAAGTGTGAAATATTGGATGTTTGGAGATGTTATGGCTGACAAGGTCAGGATAAAAACAAGTTTTAAATAAAAGGCATAACAAGTAATTAATGGGACCATTGGAATTCCCATAAAAAGCTCAAAGAAGGTAAAAAAGGTCCTTGTCAAATAAAGTATGTGGACCAACACATGCTCATGAGATATACTTCATTTTATTAAATCTGTATTTAAAGTTTATATATACATATATGATTCTATGTAAATCTTCCCCATACTTGATCATTTCATTAAACAACTGTTAATGTATATATTTAAAAATTCAAATCTTCATAATTGGAGATGCTTTAAACAAAAGAAGTGCATTTTTCAGAGGCTGTTAGAAGTAAGCTGGGCCTTGTAGTTGCCTGTAGTCTCAGTTACTTGGGAGATGTAGGAGGTTTGCTTGAGCCCAGGAATTCCAGGCCAGTTCAGATAACATAATGAGAACTTTCTCTCTCTCTCTCTTTCTCTCCCCCCTATCACACACACACAGTAATTCTGCAATATCATCTAAAAATCTAGTCATATCCATATGTCTCCAGTACTCCCTACAAATCTTCAGTATATACACAGTATGAAAACATTAACTAGAATACAAAATGTTAAAGCAAGGCTCCAATGGCTCACACCTATATTCCTAGCTATTCAAGGCTAAGATCTAAGAATCCTTGTTCAAAGCAAGCCAAGGAAGGAAAGTCTGTGAGATTATTATCTCCAATTAACCACCACAAAGCCCAAAATGGGGTTGTGGTTTAAGTGGTAGAGTGGCCTTGAAGGGAAAATCCTGGTGCCCAGGCCCTGAGTTCAAGCCCCAAGGCTAGCACCAAATATGTCTGTGGGTATCTGTGTGTGTGTGTGTGTGTGTGTGTGTGTTAGAATGTGTTGCATGTAGAAGGAGTAAACATTGTTTTTTGGAAATAAAGTGGTTTTTACAGGTTCTCCAACAGAAAGCAAATGATTGTTCTATTGGACAAAACTTCCCACTTTTAATGTAACCACACTGATGCTAGAAAGTGAAATTGAGATGCCTTTTAATATCTGATGTTTTCTGTCACTGGATAAAAAACTATAAATATTTGTTTCTTCACTCTAAAATGTTTAGGTCTTTCGGCAAAAAATACTATTTCCCAAATCTTAGAAATGACAACTGAGGAAGATTCATGTGCAATTTAGATATGACTTTTAGGCAGAACTTCCAAGTGGTTATTAAAATCATTTGTAGTTCTAGTGAAAAGTAATTGGGAGAAAAACTCATTAATTTTTCCTTTTAAGGAAATGAAAATTGTATGTTAACGTGGTTTCAAGGGAGTACTAGAAGGGACAGATTAGGTGGGATGGTATGATAGATGAAACAGAAAAAATGCCCTTGAAAAATCAGACTTTGTTAGTAATTGATACACTCAATGACCACCTGGAAACATAGATGACTTAACTAACCTCTGATTGTGCTTAAGTCCTAATTTGCTAAATTTACAGTATGCCATTGACCAAATAAAAATTTCTGTTCCTTCCTTTACATAGTATGTAAATTGAATTCATTTAAAAGAATGAAAAAAATTGGCCAATTTTTTGCAGCACTTTTTGTCTCAGACTGTCAAAGGCTGGGTTTCTTACTGTGTTCTTCCTGGTCTCTGTCTCTTGGGTAGATTGGATCACAGCCAAGTACCACCACCCTAGGATTGACAGACTTTTTTCTTTTTTGGGGGGGGGGTCCGGTTGTGGGGCCTGAACTCTGGGCCTGGGCGCTGTCCCTCAGCTCTTTAGCTCAAGACTAGTGCTCTACCACTTGAGCCACAGCGCCAGTTCCGGCTTTTTTCTTTTTGCTTATGTGGTGCTGAAGAATCGAACCCAGGGCCTCAGGCATGCAAGGCAAGCACTCTACCGCTGAGCCACCTTCCTAGCCCCTGACAGACTTTTTTCTTTTTTCTTTTTCTTTTTTTTGGGTCCGGTTGTGGGGCCTGAACTCTGGGCCTGGGCGCTGTCCCTCAGTTCTTCAGCCCAGGGCTAGCGCTCTACCGCTTGAGCCACAGCGCCACTTCCAGCTTTTTTCTTTTTGCTTATGTGGTGCTGAGGAATCGAACCCAGGGCCTCAGGCATGCAAGGCAAGCGCTCTATCACTGAGCCACCTTCCCAGCCCCTGACAGACTTTTTTCTAATGGTGCTCAAGTTAGAACCTAGAGCCTCTCAAACACTAGGCAAACACTTTACCACTGAACTACATCCACCATGTAAGAATGAATTATTTTAAGTGGTATACTAAGAAAAGCTGCTAAAAATTTTATGGAAAAAGTTTTTTGGGGAGCTCAACTTTTAGAGTTAGACTTAAGTTTGAATTCTAGTTCTGCCTCTTATTAATTATTGCTTATTTGTATCTATTATTGCATAAGCAATTGACCCTCCCCCCAAATGTATATTACCTCACACATTTTCTATGGATCAGCAATTTCATTGTGGCTTAGCTCAAGGTCTATCATGAGGTTGTAGTTAAGATATTGGCTGGGGTTACAGATATCTGAAGGTCTGATTAGGACCACAGGATTAGCACATAAGACAGCCCACGCATGTGTTGGCACATGTCAACAGACATGCAGACTCATCCACAGCATTGCTTGAGTACCTTTCAACCTAAGAGTTGTCTTTGCCCTACAATGAATAATCCAAAAGGTAAAAATAGAAGCAATACCTTTAAAAATGCAGCCACACAGTGGACACCAGTGGCTCATGCTTATAATCTTAGCTACTCAGGAGGCTGAGATCTAGAGCCACCCTGAGCAAAAATAAAAGTCCATGAAACTCCATCTCCAAAATAACCAGGAAAAAAAGCAGTATACTCAAGTGGTAGAATGCTAGCTAAACAAGCAAGCCAAAGAAGTGAGTCCCTGAGTTTAAACCCAAGTACCACCAAAATAAAAAAATACAGCCTCAGAAATTACACTGTGGTTTTCATGGTATCTCATTGTTTTACATGTCAGCCCTACCTAAAATGAGGACTATCCAAATGGCTCAGATCAAGAGGTAAGAGTCACTGAGGGCCATGTTAGAATCTGGCTACCACAGTGCCCATCAGGAACTTGGTGCAAACATCTCCTTTCTGGCCTGCTAAAGCAAAAGCAACAGGTGCACTACTTTGAAGGTTTATGAGACCTTTCTTTCCACTTTCCGCTTGTCTTCAGGCAAGCAGTCAAAAATTACTAGTGGGGGCTGGGAAATTGGCTCAGTGGTAGAGTGCTTGCCTCACATTCATGAGGCCCTGGGTTTGATTCCTCAGCACCACATAAGCAGAAAAAAGCCAGAAGTAACACTGTGGCTCAAGTGGTACAGCACTAGCCTAAAGCTAAAGAGTTCAGCCCCACAACTGACAAAAAAAAAAAAAACTACTAGTTTACTCTGTCTTGGAATTCACTTTGGGACTTTGTCTGAAAAGAGTAAAGAGAAGTCCAAGTGCTTACAAATAGTTTTCACAAGGCCTTCATTTATTTTCCTATGAGTGTTGTACTAGAGTTGGCTGACTATATCAAAGCCATTGGGAGGGTCATTATTGTAGGATTATAATTTTCTTGAATTCAAAATCTTTTCTTTTCTGTTCTTAGGAGAGACTTCTATGACAATATGATCTGAGAGGTTCTATTCTTATAATGTACAAGTACAGGCTCTCTAGTTTCTCAAATAAAGGTATATGATCTTATCACAAGGTATTTGAAAATTGACATGATAGCAGATGTTTCATGGAGGCCATCCATTCTATATTTTCTTTGAACTGTCATT